ATAGAAAATGGAACTTTTATTAGGTTTTATAATAAAATTTATCAAACAAAGCCCTTTTGACTGGTATTTATTTAATAATTTTTAAATTTATAAAAGTATTCTTTATATCTTTAAATATATTTTCACAAAACTATAGTATTTTCGAAATTGCTTATTGAAAATATTTTTAAACAATTTTTTATTCAAGGCTAATTCACACAATACCAAATCTGTCACATTTGACATGTAAATTTATGTGAGTTTTAAATGCTTCATTGTTTAAATATAGATGAAAACTTTCATCATCATTTACTTTCACCAGAAACTGTACTTGTAATTGCACAATGAGAAAAAAAATAATAAATTAATAATGGATTAAAATGAAAATTATTATGATAGCAAATGTTCATACACCTTTTTTGAATATACAAACTGACACTTACAGAACCTAAATACATGTACAGGTACTGAAAATAAATTTTATAAATTTTGAAAATCTACTTTAAGTATGTAACAAACGCACGCACTGTTCATACAAGTAGCAATTGAAATTTTCATTAATTGGAAAGTAAAGATTCGACTGGGTGCAAACGGCATTTTGGATGATTTTTGTTTTTTGTTTTTGTAGAAATATTTTTTTACAATTTCATTTCTGTATCAAGTTCTTTCCATTGCTTCTTATCCAAGACATTCTTCAATTTCTGTTTTAGGATATTCTAAAGACTGTAGTACTGACATACAAAGTGTTCAATTTGAGAATGTATCTACTGTTGATAAAATTTCCCAACAATAAATTTTCACCATACGGGAATATCATTTGACATCTTAGGTTGTAATCCTTTATAAATGTCGCATACGTGATTATGATTTGACTCACCAAATGGTCGTTCATCTGTTACAATTTCATACACAACCGTTCAATGCTATAAATCTGCAGCTTTAATGTATGGCTTTCCATTTAGAACCTCTGGACTCATAAAGAAAGTACTCCACAAATTTTTGGTTAGATTTTTCTAAATTTGTTGGAATGGTAAATCCAATATCAGCAAGTTGAATATTATTACACATTAATGTATTTCAAGGATGAAAGCTTTGATGATGCAAATTTCTATGCGCGAAATTTCTAATAATATACATAAATTATTTAATTTTTCTTTCCAAATCAATCCTTCGTTGGAATTACGACGATAATTACTAAGTGTAGGACATAATATTGAAATTTGATTGTATCAGAAAAAACAATATTCATTTTAGATAAACGCCGGAGTAATTTCTTTGAATTGTAGAATGATCGCAGTCCAACAACTTTTTCCATATCTATATTTATTTTCTTCAAGATGCCAATGTCCACTGCTTTATAAATTATTTTAAAACCTTCTTTAGCAAGATATTGGTAAATCTTTCAAAAAGAAACCATTCGAATAAATTAAATACATTGATTCTATCATATTCTTTTATTAGATTATCGTCATCTTTGCCTTCGTTAGATAATTTATCATTATAAATTCATTTTTCTTCTTGACAACCGTCATATTCATGAGTATTCGATTCCACCTTTGAGTTAATTTCTAAATGCATTCTATAAACATAAATTTTTTGAATACGAAATAAATGTACATGTGCTTTGTGCAATTAACAGTTCGATTTTAATATGTGTACATGTACTTCGTAGAATTATATTTTTTTAGAGACTAATTTATTTTTATTTAATTAATATCTAATACAAAGACAATTAGAAACACGTATTTTACTTTGAATCATAATTCATGAGAAAAAACTGTATAAATGACTGTAATTCAAACATTCAAATCAAAAGATTTTAATTGCTACATTTTGGTCTTTATCCAATACGGTAACTTAAAAAATAATTCGTAAATTTGCAACAATATTCTTTGGTTATCTGCAAATTTTCAAACTCGTCGTATTTCTCCAGATAGCATTCGGGAATATTGGTAAATGTACAACCAATTGCAACTACTGGTGAATTTTCGAATTCCACAAATGAATTTTTTAAAAATTCTAAAATTTCGTACACATTATCAAACTACTATAAATAAAACTTTTTAAATTTTTGGCGACATGTGACTACCTTCATACAATATATATATGATTAGAATAAAGCTAAATGTCTTCACTAATTCGCTATCAATAAGTAACGCTATGTTCACCGTTAACACAAATACACACAATGGAAACTACTGCTTTTTCTATCGCTATAGGTTCTTATTGAATTTGAAGGCATAACAAATTGGATTGATAAAGATAAAAGCGTAATATGACACACAAATATGTAGAAAGCTTGTATATCTCTTCTTTTATCAAATAATAACTTAATGCAAAAGTTGGCTGGTATAAATCTTTACTTTACTCAACACTAATTTACTGTGAACTCTTGCTCATGTCTGCACTTTACTATAATATCTTAGAGTCTTTAAATAAATTACGTCAATGTCGCTTGAAAATGCTCTAACACAATATCATGGCACCCATTTTCCCGATACCTTAATACCCTGACCACTCCTTTGCCCGACATTCTAACGTCCTGAAAATCCAACTTCTCGATATTTTTGTTTTATGTTACGTAACTTTTCATTCTACATTTTAAATGAGGATCCGTTATTCTATCGTTGATGTTATAAAAACCAGAAATTGGATTAGTTTGTCGTGAAGTTATATTTGTTGGGAGGTTGGAATTTTGGAAAGATGGGTGTCGGGGATGTTGGGGTAGACCCATGTAAATAAAATACAAGCCAAACTTTTGTATTCATTTTAAAGTGTTTTTTATATCTTTAGTATTTTAACAAAATTCGAGTCGGTCACGAGTTTGTTGATTAAAGGTCGAGCCGAGTTCGGGTTATATAAATGCTAACCCGAGTATTAATATATTTTAATTTTATACTCGGGTCGAATACGAATATGTCCCAAACTCGACCCGATTCGACCTCTTCGAAGCATTGCGCCGAAATACAGTCAGTGACAAAAAAACTTAATGATTGACAAATAAAAAGTCATACATATATAAGTCAATCATTTTGTAACCAATTCAAACCAAATATGGATAAAATAAAACTCATGTGATAAGCTTTATTTTCTGTTATTCTTAATGCAGAATTAATTCATACCTTTTTGCATTATCCATCTTAGAGATGGAACAATCCATCTTCAAAGAAAAGAAAAAAAAACTATTATACTACTGGCACACAGGTGAATATTCTGTGCCAAAATTAAGTAGACTTACAGGTCTAGCAATCTCAACTGTCTGATATAATGTAAAAAAATTAGAGTCAACTGGAATAATTCAGCATAAAGGTGATAATAGACATCCTAAAAAATTACTGCGACTGTATTAAGAAAGGTGGGTCAATCAATATATTTGTAAAACTTCTTCTATGTCTCTACAAAAAATTGCTATTAAACTAAGTATAGAGGAGGTAGACATTTCATATTATACAATAGAAGACACTTAAAATTAAATGGATATAAAAAAAATTGACCAAATGCTATGCTAATATTAATAGCAATTCAAAAAAAGAAACGTATATAATGGGCCAAATGTTATCTTAATGATGACTGGAAAAAAACCTTATTTTCCGATGAAACAGCATTCCAACTATTTCCAAATATAATTAATAATTGATATAAGGGTAAATGGCCAGTCCATCCAATATCAAAAAACTATTCAAAAATTTTTACGTGAGGTGACTTCTGCGTGAAGAGAAAAACTCGTTTATTCTGCTTTCAGGGTATTATGAATACTGACTTTTATATCGAAATTTTGCAGCAACATGTCAGGGAAATTAAAAAGATGCTTGGGAGAAAGTGGCATTTTCAGCAAGATAATGATCCTAAGTATACAAGTAGTAAAGCTAAGAAGTTTCTTGTGGAAAATGTATCCAAAGTTATCAATTGACCATCATTGAGTCCAGATCTAAATCCAATCGAAAACCTATGGATAATTATTAAACGTGAAGTAGAAAAACAAATATCGTAAAATTTAAACAAATTGAAATAATTTATAATGGAGGAATGGAATTCATTACCAAATGATACATTAAAAAATTTAATAAATTCAATGTCATGCTATTGTCAATTAATTATTAAAAATAAAGGCAACAGAATTCCTTATTAAATTTGTAAAAATAAAATCTACTGCTTTCAAGCTTTCAAACAATATCTTGATCATGTGTTTTAATGCGATCTGTATGAAATTGTAATAGGACATTCTAAATTAAGTTTTTTGTCACTGACTGTACATGTTCACATAAAGATCCCCAACGCCATCTCCTCCAGGCTCTTGCGTTGCATGGAGGCGGGTAAATTAATGTTCCGTATGAAAGACAAGTATTCTATAAGGCAACTAGTCAAGTGACTTTTATGCAATATTGTAATTAACTTTAAACATCAATATGTGTTGTAAGACCACACATCAAAGTATCTTAGCCATGATGAAATAATGTGTAGGGTTACAAGGACCAAACCAATCAAATTGCAAGATATAAAATATTAAACATTTAAGGTTAGAGTTAGAGTCAGAGTTAAGATTATGTTGTGCCCGAAAATGTAATGATAAACTTTCACAAGGACCTTTTTTATTAGAACACAGAAAGTAGCTTCATAGGCAAAATTTTAAGATGCATGGCCATTTTAAAAATAAACGCTTGTTTTTGAATTTTCTTGCGATTTGATTGATTTACCCTTAAAAATTGCGTGATAAACACTTATTTTGCCATGACCTAAGATACTTCTCATATCATCAATAGCGATTATGAGCTACATTGGTGGACACTAAAGCATTGCAAAATAAAAAAAAGTAGTTGCGATGAAATAATAATTTTAATTTGAAGGTTGTGACAAAAAAGATTTATTTATAGATATCTGATCGTTTACATCAAATAGCTATCCTATGTAATTGTATTATATTAGTGTTAGCAATGTCTAACCAACACTAAATTGTATTTACGCAAGAAATTATACATTAATAATTAACAATCATAACTTTTAATTGACATTAATGTAGCATATTAAGAGTCTAAATAAAACCTTGTCATTCCCATCACTAATAATTTTTTACCATCGGTTTTTTCCCACTCTGATGAGTCGCTTGTGCTTGCATCTGCAGTGTTTTGCATATTCAGTATTGCTCTACCAAGATCCATTTGCCGAACAATCTGTTTAACTCTAGTTAACGAATTCGTATGATTAGTAAGTGCTACACATAGTATAATTATGAGTCCGATGATGGCTATATATAATACTGCATAGCGAATAGCATGTCATAACATGTTTTATGTACCATAAATTGGATGGGACCAGTGACCTTAGCTTCGCTAGTAGGGGATACCATATTAATAACGATATCAGTCCACTGGCGTTGGAACATACGACTTATGCCTTCTTCGCTTATTCCCTCCTCTTTCCATTGTTGTAGCAGAGCCAGGTTTCCGATACCGTCTCCACGATAACCACGGCTGATATCCTCACCATTAACATCTAATATTATCTTCAACGCTATACCAGGGACGTCAACAGTTTGTGCATCAGCAGAGGTACCCCAAATGAAGGACCCTCCTGCTGGTAACCAAAGACTATTATTGCTTACTAATATGCTGTTGTTAGGAATGTTTTCTCCGGATTTGACTCCTCCCCACCAAGGATTCATATCAGAAATCTTAAGATTAGCCTTTTCAATATACCATTGGGCCGGAATGGTTTGTGTATTCAATACACTAATTTGCTTTTGATCATCAGATTGTAACTCAATAACCTTTACGCTAGCTTCAACTGCGCTAGCGCAGGTGTACAAGATTTGTTCGATTCCTCTTTCAGTAATTTTGGGTGGTCCAAATAATGCCCAGCATTTGACGCCAACAATATTATCTGCAACATTGTCTTTACCGCCGAACCCTTCACATCTAATTTCCAGATTAGATCCAAGTGATGAATTGAAATTGAGTCCGAGGAAATTGTCGAGTAGGAAAGTCTGGATAGTCTTTGGCGCCTCGGTGGTGAAGTTGAGGTTATACACTGAAGACTCAAGAAAATTTCCATTGGTTGTCATATTCATTTGTTCTGTAATACTTGATTGTATCAACTGACTGTACTTGATACTTCTTGATGAGAGATCGATTTTTTGTCCTTGATCACCAAGCGGGTGTATATTTGGTGGTCGTAAGTCGGTATTGTTAATAACCATTTTTGCTATCCAGTTAGAAAATAGTGCATTCATCGTTTTATTATCCCATGCGATCTGTGTAAGGTTAGTTGATTGACAACTGACATACGGTTGTAGCCACATGCCTTCAATCGCCCAGTTGAATTTGTTGCCCACTTTGTCTCTAGGTTGAATCGCTTGATTCATCAAGAGCCCACCATTATCATGATCTACAATCATCCTGTCAATAATGTTATAACCCGTTTGTGTACTTGTAACAACACCCATCATAAAGTCGTAGCTAGGATATGAAATATTATCATTGCTACTAGTCTTCAATAGACGGTACCTCATTGCATTGTTACTGTATGTTTTGTTAAAGTCAACTGCATATGACTCATCAACATGTAATCGATCTTTCATTCCCGGACATGGTACCCATTCCAAACCACCACATATTCTAATCTGCGATAATTGATCCAGAGAGAACGTGTTATTAACCGCACGACTAAGTAAATCCTGATCGACAATCTCCATATCAACAGACGCGTTATATACTACTGTACAAGTCTGAATACCAAGCGGTGCAATAGCTGATACACCATACAACACTACCGGACATATTCCAATAAGTAAATAAATAATGTTACATTTGCGCGATCCGACATCCCATAACTTAATTCCTGTTAATGCCGGTTGACCATCTGCCCCATAAAAATCAAGCAGACTACGCTGAGTTGCTTTACTTAAAGTTGTCCATTCTAAGGCTGTCATTTTATCACTAATATTGCTCACTATCACTGTGACTCCTATCGCACCAATAATTATTGGTAGCAAAGTGCCGATAAGACCAATTAGCGCTGCTAATTGACCAGCACTCAAATTAACTATCATCTTTATCATACTCGTCTATATTAGTTTGAAAGGCTATCGAATGCCGAAATGATTTTTTTCGATTTTGTGAGGGTTTATCGTGTGTGTCGATATTCTGATAAAAGTGAGCGTAAACTTAACAAAAAGAATCTGTCAAGTCATATCTCTTTATCTTTTCAAAATTTGCTGCGGAATTCATCTAAACAATACCACATTTAATTAAACAATGAACATACATCACGATTGCAAAATTCTTCGCTAACATAAATTAGCCCAATATTTAACCCGATATAGCTTTATAAAGAACATTAAATTAATTACCATACATAGATAAATGCTAGCGCATCCAGCATACATGTATTATAAAACCTGTATGCGAGCGATTTTCTCAATATACATGTGTACTACTTTGCTTGATTTTACAATACGCGTTCTATCCGTCTCTCTCATATGCATCGAAAGATCGAATCATAAAAGGCTATGGCGATTTTTTTTCATTTTAATCCTATTGCACTATAGAGATAACAAAGAAAATTATTCTTGACTATGTATGCATTGAGTTCGAAAATTCAGTTAGTCATAGAATTTACAAGTTTTATTTTAAAGCTTAATATTCATTTTCAAATTAAGACATATAAATATTGCTAACTGTAGAAGCAAAATGGTACACTGATATTCTCATCAAAATATATATTAAATAATACACAGATGACTTGTTTTTGTTTTCAACTTTCCATCGTTATTGCAAGTTTTAGAATAAAAAAACAATAATCTACGATCTTGAGAATATTTTATTGTTATGGTAAATTACGATAGAATATTCAAAATGTACACCATAAATGTTTGGAAACAGTTCACCGCATCTACCATATCTCCTGCGTAATCTCAAGGGACCTCTTAACAACACCTTCAAAATAAAGCTAATAAGACAAAGAAACGTTATAATTGATTGAACGCATTCCGTTTCTTCAAACAAAAGTAGTAGTATTGTCGCGCATGATGTTATTTCGAAAATCGCACCATTTAACGATAGCATATGCTGTATACATGTAGTTTCAAGTAGAGCCCAAGGCTGTCTCGAAATGATGCGGGCCCATATAACGCATCGGCAGTTTATTTTGCATCTGATTTGATAAGTATCGTTATAAATAATCGGAAGTGAATTGATAAACTTGATAAAATTACATTGTTTAATATCGAAAGTGTATCGAAATAAACTTGCATAATAAACCTTATAAATTCGATTATCTGGACTGATATACAATGCACATGGGCGTTGTTTCGAAATTCAGGTTTAGCAGAAAATTGAACCTTTGTCTCAAAATTATGCACATGCGCGTACTCAAAATAACATAAATGGGACTATTTCGCGACAATACGGTATGAAAAATTGTTTCTAGAACTGGACTTGCACTATTAGCGTTCTTTGTCCTTATTGCAAAGTTGTACCAATGATTTGTACATAGTATACGTAAAAAATTGAGTTTGATTATTGTGTACAAAATTATGAGTAGCAAAATAAAATTAATCAACCTTATTATTGGTTAAAGATGCATAGTGGCAAACACCGAAATTAGAATGAAATATAAGAAAAAATGAACTGCTATCAGATAAAGCCAAAAATAGTAAGCAAAAGTATTTATAAGGCTACGTTTTCCTTCCCCTCAACCATTCTTTAGGACTTCAAAGGATCAAACAAATATGATCAAAGAAAAACTTATCGACTTAGTTAAAAACTTATTTACCAAAACACCCAAACCACGCAAACAAAAATGTCCTCAAAACTGGACTTTTATTCTTATTCAACTTTGTCATCTCGATGCTTGCGATAGAGTGGCGGTTCGTGTGATTGTAAGGGGTAAATCAATGTGCTAAGAAATAATTCAAAACAAGTGTTAATTTTTGAAAAATAGCTTGTAACTCGTAATTTTGTCTATGAAATCACTTTGTGTTCTAACAAAGAATGTTCCTTGCGAAATTTTACTATACATCTTTCCGCATAGATAAAACCAATCAAATCGCAAGATATGAAATGTTTATAACATTTTTGCTAAGTTAGAGAGTCAGAGTTAAGGTTATATTGTATTTCGTTCAGACAAAAATTTCGCTATTTTTCAAAAATTAACATTTGTAACACATTGATCTTGCGATTTGATTGGTTACCGCTTAAAATCACATGAACCGGAAAATTTTTTTTCTTACACACTTTCGAAACGAATGTGTTTCAGTTTTGTCGATTATGGGGTAGTGGTCGATTATTAGTTTAATCAATTAAATAAAGTTCTTTTCTTGATAATAATATGTAGAGATGTACCTATGCGCATAGCTACTAACCGATATCGTAAATGCCCATAGACAATATATGCATATGGTTAAGTTCATAAATTATCACCAATTAAGGCATTTGTACTCAATAAATAAAATGCATTTATACAGAACATACGTATAATGATAACGATAACATTTACATCTTTATTGTATGCATACCTTATCATTATGGCTTCTCAAAGTTCTATATGGGAACATTTTAATCAAATTGGATTTCGACAACAGCGTGCAGAATGTAAATACTGTGAAAATCCCAAATATCAATGCAATAATTCAGTAATTCGGTGTAAGTCACATCTGCGCGTATGTCCAAATGCCTCAATTGAAGTTAAATGATCATTTTTTGGTATGAACTTTGAAAATCCAGAAATTGCTAATACAAGTTCACTCAATGCCAATTCGCCTATAGGAAACACATAATTAACTATCAATACAATATCAAATACTGATTCTACCAATGCAATTAATACTATTACTACCACTAGTTCAAATATCAATACAATTACTAGTCCTACAAATGCAATTAATCTTATTTATAATCAACAATTACAAAATGTATAAAATACATGAATTGTTTACTTAATGAAGTATATCAAAATACTAAAAATAAAGTAGAAAATTATATAAATAATGCTGAGTATGTTTGTCTTATTTGTGATGAATAGTAAATTATATTTATTTTTTGTTGTGATAGATAATAAATTATATTTATTATTTGTATTTATTATAATACTTTATTTTTATTCTAATTAATATTATAATTATAGGTCAAATATTATTCAGGAACATTGGTCTAATTTTATTTTAACTACACCAATACCAGTATTTATTTCAGATAAACCTACAGATGAAACTAAACAAAATGCAATAAATATTTCTGCAGATAGAAATATAATTACAGATAATGCTTTAGTAAAGAAGTCTGCCTGAAGAATTTTAGCTATCAAGTATCCAAATATTATATTCATCAGATGTTTAGCACATGTACTTAATTTATTAATTAATAATATTATAGAACTTAATTAGATAAAACATATAAAGTCAAAAGCTAAAGAAATAATTAAATATTTTAAATCTCATCATATTTCAGCAGTAATTTTAAAATAACATCAAAAAATAACTTATGCAAAATACTTGAAATACACTTAAACTTTCAGCAAAAACTTGATAGAAATTCAATATAGCTTGTCTTGTATTACTTAAAAAAAATCAGTTGGTTCTTGGATTAGCTACTTATAAAATTTCAATTAATTTAACTATAATAATAAATGAATCAATTAAAAATAATATATTAAATGAAGATTTTTGAAAAAAAACTATAAAACTTCTTGTAATACTTGAAGAAATTACTAAAGATATTATAATTTTTGAAAATAATGCTTTAAAACTTTCTTATTTTTATAAATAATATAAAGATTTAGAAAATTTAGAAGGTAAGTTATTAAAATATTATAATATTAAAATTAATATTAATTAATACTTATATTTATAATTTATTAGCTATTTCAAATTTATCAATAGCAATATAAATGAATAAAATATTAATTACAAGATAAAAAAATTTATAATCTAATTATACTGATTACTTTTATTAATAATTATTATTCTAATAATAAAATTATTATTAAAAGTCAAATTATATAATACAAAGCAAGATATAAATAAAATCTTGACTTTTATTAATAAATATTCTCATAATAAAATTATTATTAAAAGTTAACTTATATAATATAAAGCAAAATCAAATCTTTTTAGTAATATATTAGCATGAAAATTTATTAATAATATTGATATAATTACTTAGTAAATTCTAAATTTTATATAATTAATATTTGAATTAATATAATTAGTATAATATATCAGCTTTTATAAATATTTATATCAAAAAAAATTAGTTAAGTAATAAGTATATTTTTAAAATATTTTATATTTATAATAATTGTATATTATAAATTTCTTCAGATAATTAAAAAAAATTATCAAAAAATATATTAATAATTAAAATAAGTATCAATTAATATTATACTAATAATAAATAATAAAAATAAATATTAGAATAATAATAATAATAAATAATTTAATATATCAAATAATAGTAATAATATATTAGAAATATTAAGTAATAATAATAAATATATATAATAATTATAAAAAATAAAATTATTATTAATTTTTATAATTCATATTATATATTTGATTATTATATATAGTATATATATAAATTATTATATATATTATATATATATATAATACATATAGTATATATATAGTCCCCAGCAAAAGTAATAATGCATAACATTTCATCTATATTTTAATAATGAAATATCTAAAACTCACAAAAGTTTGTAAATATATTCTTTAGGATATTACAAATAAGATTCTCTAATAGTACAAGGCATGTTAGCTTAATAAAATTTTGCAGAATTTTGCGTCAAATGTGTTGGATTAGGTATCTACACAAAATAACTTTGAAAAAAAAAATTATTTAAAAATATTTTTAATAAGTAATTTTAAAAATATTTTTGTAAAAATATATTTTAAGATATAAA